GTAATGTTTTTAAAAAATAATAATAAATTCATGATTATTCATTTAAATCACATTATTTAGTTCCGTACCCCAGTAACCCCACAACCCCATTACACAAATCTTTTCTCCCATAAAAATAATTAACTGATCCTTATGTGACATCAACAACAGGAAGTGACATCATAGATGTTCTGAACAATATCTTGCAGACACAGGCAAGTTACCAACTTCTTTTCCAACTATATTTCTTTTTTTCCTTCCATTTACATTGTGATGTGGTCTTCAAGTGTAACGACTCAACCCTGTTAGATGAAATAAAGATTAAAAACGATTATTTGTGAAAATGATCTGGTATTTCAACAAGATATATGACTTCTTAATATCATGCATACCATGTGCTCTCCTGTTAGTCACCACATGTAGAGCAGTGGCCATCTTGAGCAAAAAATCACAACCCCGACACACTGATCATAACGGAGTTGTGAGATTGTGACGTGGTTGTGTTTTTACCACTTTGGTTGTAAAGTTATCCAATAATTTAAATTACTTATTATATTTGATCAACCGTCTTATACGACATGCATGTTAATGTATTAATGTCCATGTTAAAGCTGTGTGTGTCTGCACATGTGTGTTCTATCTAGAATTTCATATCTCAGTGATAAGTAAATTGCTATGAAATAATGTTTGATTTAATGATATCATTTTCTCTACAGACATCTGAGTCTGTGATGGCACCAACAACAGCAGCAGAAAGGCACACCTGAAAGCCCTGTCTACATGAACATGGGTATTTTCATCATCATATTTTCATAATTTTACGCAGTTCGGGTCACTGAAACCAAACATTTTTGAAAACCCCTGCCAGAGTGAGGATATTCCGAAACGCCGGTTGCAGTGCTGTCGTGTGGACAGTAAAATGGGGGTTTCGCCTTGCAACGTCAGAGTGTGCGCCGTCATCCTCTGTGTCTGATGTCAGATTGTGCGGCACTGCCTGCTAGGTTTACAATTTTATTAGGCTCTGATTGGCCAACGTGGCTTTACGGTTAGGGCCATATCGCCGCCGCTTGACTGCGCTTGATAACGTGTGTTTGCGTTTTCATGTGGACGGAGATTTTTTTTTTTGAACAAAGGAGGAAAAACTCTGGTTATAAAAATACCCGTGTCCGAGTGGACTAGGCCTGAGAGAAGGGAGAAATACCTGCAAACTGAACGCCAGAGATGGAGAAAAAATGTAGAGAAAGGGCAAAAAAAGGGAATCACTGAGTTAAGTAAAAGAACAGCGGCAGAAGCACAGAAAGTGGAGAGCAGCTTACAAAAGAAGCAAGGAGAAGAGAGGAGCACTGGGGAACTTAACCACTCCTTCACAAAGTCCACATCATGCACCAGAGCAGTATCCATGGCTAGGATCTTCAAGGTAGAGCAATGAGCAGTTAAGAGTGTTAGAAGAGTTAGAAAATGAAAAGTGTAGTACACTATAGAGAACAAGTACTATTAGATGTTGAGGTTGAATGTGACTGATGGCTGCTTGAAGGTTTGGCAGATTAGATTCCTTGTTTCAAGACTTTTTACAGGGCCCTGTATTCTTTCATCCTTTTCCCCGTGAGTCCATCATATCCATTTTTCATCATAGTCTAATTTATTGATTATGTTTATAGGCAACATGTGGAATGGAAGAAAACAAGAAGAAAAGAAAGAAATAGGCTGAAGAAGAAAATAGAACAACTTCAGGCAAGACTGGACAAACAAAGAAAACTGAAAGAAAAATACATCAAGAGATTCCAATGTTTGAAGAAGCATTCTGATTCACCACGGTCTAAGGTGAATGAGCTAAAAGCAAATTGCCCCGTAAACCCCAGAATCAGGAAGACGCTGCTGTATCATCAATCACTGATTAGAGACATTAGTAACAAAAAAAACAAAACAAATAATAATAATAAATACAAAATAAAAATAATAAGATTGACTAACAAATAAACATTCAGCACAGGAACAGATCCACTCCGACTGGGTCTGGTGGTTGTTCCATTGTCGGGACGACCAGCGGGTGATGCCCTTGAGCAGCCAGCTGCTCAAGGGCAGCTCCGTAGGGGACGAAGGGGACGAAGGAGGGAGGCAGGAAGAGACGTTTTTCTTGCTGTTTTTCTATTCCTTCTTCTCTTTAACTCAGTTTCCCCTTGGGTGACCAGATGAGAATGGATGAAATTTGGGACGGGGGAGGGGACGTGGCTACCAGTACATTGAGTGTCAATGAACATTAACACACGTGAAAATACAATACAACTTAACTGTGGATATGTAGGTAAATCATGATCTTTTACTTAATTTTTATATTTATTTTATGCATGTCATCAGTACAGTGTCACATCTGCCTGCGCAACTCGCGTGTTAGATCTCTCCGCCGTGCCGTGGCTGCCTGAAGCTAAATTCCACTAACCAAAAGAAAACAAAAAGGGGAAAAGAGCCTGACGAGTGTTACTTTGTGGCTAAAACAACGCTGTTGACACAATGTACAGATAACCTGCAACCCCTGCTGGAGCAAGAGAACTATACAACAATAAGTAGGCCTATATGTTTAATTAGGCTTTGATCAAAACTCATGTAATAAAAAAAACAAAATAAATATCAGCAGACCACAGAAGAACGAGAAATGCAACTAATTGCAAAAGTGACAACAGGGAGAGTTGTCAAAAAATATAGGTTACAGAGATTTGCTGAGGATCCCCTCTGCTTTTCGAGTAAGCATTGGCAACGTAAGGAAAGTCTTAACTTTGAAAGGAAGAAGACTAACAGGTTCACTGATGAATTAGCAGTGAAGATGTTCTGTGTAAGAGATGATGTCAGTAGGATCACAACAGGGACCAAACACTCATAAGGAACAAAGTGAAGATGCAGACAAGTTTCCTATTGGATACCCGGAAAAATCTTCACAGAAAAATCTTCACAGAAGATGAAAAGATTTCATATTCTCTGTTCTCTTTTTGGGTTGTTAATCCAACAATCTCAGAACGAGACACATGCATGTGTAAATTGCATTAATAATCTGTCCTTTGTGGCTGAGAAGCTCAATTAGCTGAAACTTATTGAGACTGCCAGTCTCAAAAAGTTGGTAGAGAAGTTGTTCTGCAACTCATCCAACAAGGGCTGCATGTACAGAGAGTGTGAACACTGCAAAGATAAGAGTGTCCCAATCTCCAGTACATATGAGTACAACAAAAGTATATTTCACCCAGTGGGTTACAGAACATAAGGAGATGGATTAAAAGAAATAGGGAGAAGAGAGGTCAACTGTCAAGGTCGCCATCAAGAAATCTGTCGAGGGGTATACAGGAGAACCTGACTGAGGTGTTCCACACCTACCTACAGCAGTTCAAACAGCATCAGTTCAATATCAAGCAGCAGTATGCCTTCTGCCGCGAGCTGAAGAAGAACATGTCAGGGGAGGAGGCATTGAAAAATATTGACTTTTCAGAAAATTACTGTTGCAAATACGGCTCCCAGATCCAAGCAGTCCACTTTGTGGCTTCACACCAGCAGGCCACTCTGCATATAGGGATGTTGTATGTTGGTGGAAAACCAGAGCCTGTGTGCCTTAGCACCATCTCCTGCAGACATAAAGGGCCTCCAGCAATTAGGCAACACCTCAATCCAGTGCTGGATTACCTTCAGGCCACACATCCACAAGTGTCTGTGCTGCACTTTTTCAGCGATGGCCCAATGAGGCCACTCCTTCCTTTTCAGCACTGAATTGAAGTCTGGCTCTTGGAATTTCTTTGAGGGTAGTCACGGTAAAGGAGCACTGGATGGTGTCAGGGGACCTTTAAAAAAGAGCTCACATGATGGTGGCGAAGAGCCGTGATATCCTGGATGCACACGAGCTGTTTAAAGCGTTGACCCAGACAAACACAACAGTGAAACTGTTCTTTGTGAGCTGGTATCTGCTTTGGCCAAAAATGCCAAAGCAGATACCAGCAGTGCCGGGAACAATGAGATTCCACCAGGTGATTACTCTGGCTCTAGAAGAACTGATACACTGAGATGTCAGTTGCCTGTGCGCAACACAGAAACACTTGAACTGCTAGTGCTTTAACACACAGTGTTTCAGTTGGCCAGAAGATACAAATTGCTGTGCCACAGCCAGCCAGTGAAGGGCATCCACAGCCACAGAAAGGGAAATCCAGTGGGGAGTTGGTTGGGAAGTGGTGCGTGCTCAGATATGATCAAGAGCTCTATCCAGGCATCATCCTTAACACAGATGAAACACATGTCCAAATGAAATCTATGCATCGTGTTGGACCAAACCGATTATTCTGCCTGTGACAAAGCGCCATGTGGAAATTTTTAAAAGAGTTTATAATGTTCTACTGTATTCTGTGTTCTTTTTCCTGCTGTTGAGTTAATAAAATTCAGTTCAATTGCAATTTATATCTATTGTCTTTCTAAAATGGTAAAATAATACAATGTTTACAGAAAATCTTACAGTGAGTTTGAGTAAAAAACAATTAAAATTTTAAAATGTATATGTCCCTTCAACATCTTTATTAATTATTTTTTAAAGTTTATGAAAAAGTAATTTAATGTTTGTTGATCTCTCTGTGAGGGGTTTGAGTTTGTGGGATGTGTTTTGTATTTGTTTTCTGTGTTTATTCCCTGCCCTTGTGTTTGCTCTTGTCTGTAGTATGTGTATGTGTTACTTTGGTCATTTGTTTATTCGTCAGGTTTCCTTGTTAGGAGTTCATCAGTGTTTCTAGACTTGTTTTGCTGTCTCTGTGTTCTTTACTTTTGTTGTTTATTTTTCATTTTGTGTCATTGTTCCTTGTGTGTTTCAATTAACTTTACATTCTGTTTTAATTTGTAGTGTCTCTTGTCATGTTTTACTTCCTGTGCTTGTCTGATTGTCTGAGTAGTGTCATCTGTGTGCAATTAGTTTCTCCCCCACCCCCATGTATTTAGGTGGTTGTCTGTCTTTCAGTTGTGGCCAGTTCTTTGTTTCTACAGGAGACACTGTGTGTTTCTAGTTTTGTCTCATGTTCATGTTTCTTGTGGATTACATTTCATTTGGATTTTTGGACTTTGTTTTCACCTGCACTGTAAGTTTCACCATTTTTGTGCAATAAACCACAAAGCTTACCAGTACACAGGCCTGCCATCAGGAATTATAGACAGGGGGACACCATTTTTCACACTAAGCCCATCATCAACACCCACTCCACCTTAGTTCTAATACAAACATGGCGATTTCAAAGAAGCTCTACTACGATTACGTCACCTTTTCTCACCTCAATGATAAATTAATTAATTTTAATTCAGTGATAAACTCCTGGACTTTAATAGTTACTGTGTTTCAGCAGATTTTCTGCTTATGTTCAAAACTTTCATTCAGAATCTGTCCCACATAGACTATCTTTGTTCTCTGACATGTTGAGAAAAAAAGTCGTAAGATTACAAGAATAACGTCATCATTTAATGAGAATTCCTAACAGTTTACCTGCCCTGTGCTGTGCATGAGCTTGCGTTGACGCTCTGCTGATTGGTTCCTTTCAGACCGTCTGCAGACACAGCACCTCAATAATGCTACCAAAATGTTTGTGCCTCAGATTCTAGATGGTTACTTTGCAAAACTCTTTCGGTTATTTACCTCTACTCACAGCGCGACACACCGGTGTCACATCAGCTGGGTGGAGTTCACTCACCCCGTGTCCATATTATCAGTTATACTTTTGTTTTTCATTGCTTGAGAAAATTGATGTGGAGCGTGACAGCGTGTGAAAATTGTCAATTGCTGAGTCTAACGCTCGATGCCTGAGAGTTGGCAGCTCTGGTGTTACATTACTTAAAGGCTAAGCAAGCTAAAGCTTTGCTAGTCTGTGTGTATTGGCTTTTCTTTTTTGGACCCCTGACAGGCTGCAGTGTTCGCTTAGAGCGACTGGCTTTACATTTGCCGGTCCTGCACATCTGAATGGCCAAATGTTTCGATCATACCATTTAAGTGGGTTTGTTATCAGATGACAAGTATGAAACATGTTGTAATGATAAAAATACATTTATTTATCATTTAAATCCATCTAAAAAGTTTTGTTATTCATGTAAGACAGTAAGTTAAGTGTTCTACTTGATCCCATTTAAGGGTCAACCATAGACCTTTGAATGCCCCCCCCCCCCCCCCCCGGGCCTTGGGTCTGGGTCATCTGATTATTGAATTATAGGAACATCGGATTGACAGGAAAATGTTGATTTCATTACGAATGCATTTTATATTCATATTCAGACAAGCTCCATAGTGTCCAGAATAGGGTTGAAGAGTAATAGTCCCCATACCACAAAATAATGACCATTAATATTAGGGATTTGTTGCCTGAAGGGGAACCTGTTTTTCTGAAAGTTAAATATGTCATTAATGCTGTGGGGTGTTCAGAAAAGTAATACATTTTGGCAAAAAATCTAAGAATGTGGAAGTCCAAATCGTTCCTGTTTCGTGGAATGACTCAGCACCATGAAATGTACTACTGGGAGTTATCATGTGATAGACTGTATGACTGATAACAGTTTATATTATGGGTAAGTACTCCTGGCAGTATTAGACAACCAATAGTTTTGTTGTAGCCAGATACCTATTAGCAAACTTTACAGTTTTGTTATGGTAACACAGCACATTGTTAGCTTACACTCAGAATCAAGCGGTCAGTTTAAGAAAGAACGTTAACCAAAAACCAAAAAGTTAAAACTGGCTGGAGGGGTCTTTATGTTGTTTTTAGACTGCTCACACCCTATCACCTGTAAGCATACCTGTTCTGTCTCGGGGTTTGGGCCCGTTTCCTGCATTCAGCTCAGTAGCTGGACGTAACAATAGGCCTTAATGCATAATCACACCGTTATTTAGGATAAGTTATGAGGAGGCTACTACACCTTGCATTGTGTTTAATGACTGATTCAATGTGGCTAATACAGCTAGTCCTTTCAGGCAGGGAAATGGAATGGTTTGTGGTTATTAATGTGAACAAAATGCACGAGAACCCCCTGCAGAGAAGAGATCTATTATTATTATGTGACATGTACATGCTATAACAGGCCTGAGCGACAGTGCATTCTCTAGCCGGCGCTAGGATCCAGAAGAATAACATCTCTCGCGCTCTCTCTCTCTCTCTCTCGCTCTCCTCTCAAGACATTTTTAAAGTCTCTGCCAGACTTGGGCTCACACGTTACTTCCTGGATGGACGGAGGGATGGAAAGCTTTCGGCGTCTCCCGACCGCAAACACCGACTCTGCCCTCTCTGTTTGCCCGACGAGCGCTTCCTCCACCGCCGCAGGAGCGAGGACGCGCTGAATGGACCGTCGCTGCTAGTCTCCCCTAACCCGCTTTCCCGTTGCTGCATATACACCCCCCTCCATAACCATCAGCATGGTATTCTAATATCCGACAATATCGGGGGGGATTTTGGAACAAAAAGACTCTTCACTAAAAAAATCTCCGCCCTCCACCGTGCTCAGTCTGAGCTGCGTCTCGGGTGCTTCTTTTTACGCAGCGAAGGCGTCGCTGATCTGCTCGCAAAGGGGAGAAACTCAACAGTTGTTGCTGCTTATTGTTTGCATGTCGACGTGCATGTCACTACCATGTGGAGGCTATCGCAATCGTGTTGTTGCTGCTGGTGGATTTTCTCTCTCATTTTGCCAGCCTTCGTGCTCATCTGGGCCGAGTGTCATCCTGGTAAGTTTCGTACCCCTACAAGTCAAAATGAGCCTTTATGTTGTTCATGTCAGGAATGTGGTTATCACTGTGGCATTGACAGAACCCGGCGCATCTCTAATAGGCTAAGTCAAGTTACCTCATTAAATATCCTGGAACTGGTCACTGGCTGGGAATATTCCGTGCCTTTTGGTTTGGCGCGCGTCCCTGGAAACTGTCAGAGACGCTTAAAGCAGTTGGTGAAATTATTTTTATGCCGCTGAGTGACCTCTTTAAATCATCTCATGCCAATTCAAAGCACCTACTTTGTCACAGAAGCGTATTTTCCCCTGCCTCCTTCCTTCAGGTGGATGTCTGAGGCTCAATACCACCATTTTTCTTCTTAAATAGCAAGAAAACTGGGAAAAGAAGAAAACTGGGAAAAGAGAGGCAATGGGCAGGGATGGCATTAAAGGAGGAATAGGCAGGCTCTGTAGTTGGGTCAGGGATATGGGTAGATAAAATGTCCTGATACCTTGTCAGCCACCGCCAAAGCCCTTCTCTTACTGCCTGAAGCAAGACATCCGGGCTGTGAAGCCGCTTCACACACTGCACACAACTCACAAATTACAGTTCAGGCTCTAATGTGTGTGGAGAGGACAGTATCTTTTTTCTGTGTTTGGAGTTGTCATGTAGACCGCTGGAGGGTATCCACAAACATCTGACTTTACCCACATGGCTGTGTAACGCATAGCAGAATACTTTGTCGTGTTTGAGTGGTAAAAATACTTCCATAAATGCAAATGCTATCTAATTGAACTGATCTCCAGCTATTATATAATATAACTGAACATTTTCCAAAATCATTTTGCAAAGAGAAGCCTCTGCTTTAATTATAGCAAAATGAAAGACCCCGGACCGCTGTTTGTAAAGTACAAAGCCTCCAGCGTTTAACCCTCATGAGCCAATACACGAAGAGGAACAACACCTTTGCTGTTGCTTTTACTCTCCGACTGTAAGAGGTAATATGTTGTGTCATATTGGAAAATAAGAACAACAAATGAAATTTGACCTTGACCAGGGAGTCCATATACAATGCATTCCTCCAGCTGTGGAAGATCCTAGAAATGTCTCTTAGACACTTTAACAGGCTGTTCAACACCCAAGAGCTTTATGTGTTAAATTCCCTTGATGTTCCATCACCCACCCCGCCTGAAAATAGATTCATATTATATGCAGATGTGATTATATTTTAGAAAGGATCATGTTGATATTCTGATATGAATCAAAAATAGTACTGGATAATATTCAGTAGAGGTTGGACAATTTGGACAAAATGGTTAATTTCCCGATATTTCTAACCAAATACCTTTATACCTATATCAGAGGACCTCTTGGGAATGACTAATAGTGCTTTCAGAAGGTATTTACACAAAATAAAGAATATGTCAAAGAGAATGATGCATCTGTAAGAGTAGTCAGATTAGCTCAGAAATGTAATTAAGCCTGTAAAACTACTAAATGAGAAATTTTAAATGGAACCCTTTTATATACCACTTTATTGTATACTGATATATAAACCAGCTCTGCTCTCAAATCGCTGTGTAGTGTGAACAAAACAGACTTCAATAAGTCTATAGAAATCTGAGGAGTGCATTAATGACCACTGAACCCTAAATCGCATTATGGATTCTCAGTGGCCCCCCAGACCCCCAGTCTGAGGAGCCACTTTTAGGGAGTCTTGAGAGATGTCATGAAACACACACACAAACACACACACTTGCAGAATGAGAGATAGTCAGAGAACAAAAGATAATGCTTCACTACTGACCAATGAACACAGTGTTTTAACAAATCTATACCAGTATGAATGTACTGTTAGGATTCATACACTGGCATTTGATTTTGTACCTCCTGTTTGACATTTAGGGTTTTTATGCTGTGCCCCTTCATCCCCTGTATTTTTGATCTTGCATTCCATCAAATCACATATCTGGAGAGAAATTCAGTCAAATAAGCTGAGAAGTAAAAGAGAGAGCTGCTGTGAGTCGAGGGTGGTTCTTATAACTGGATGGAGGGAAACATATAAAAAATGAAAAGAATAAGAATTTATTTGTAGTGGTCCATGAAAAAACGAGGATTGTTTGTAGTGTTGAAAATTAAACCACTTGTTTTTGATTTCAAGATGAATCAAATAATATCAAATCATTTTAGTAACAGGCTCATTAGCAGGAAAAAACGGTCTGGTTTCAGTTTATTGAAAGGAAACATGACACATCCAACTAGACTGTCCTGACCAGAAAAATTATTACGAACCATATTGGCAATTATTATGCCAGTGGCCTCTAGTGGTCGTACAATCGTACCAAAGGCAGAAGTCAGGTGATGTATTATAAATAGGCAGAAAGTCCGTATAAAGAAGTACGGATGGTGTGCTGGATGGGTCAAACTCTGGACAGTGTTATTAAATTAAAATCACCACCTGTTTTGAGGGGAAATGGGAGAATGTAACAAGCAGAGAAAAATGGCACATGTCAAAATCAGTTGCATGTCACCCTGTCTTTTGAAAGACAACAAATCAATAGAAAGATCTGAAAACATCCGGATGGTTTGTGGAAAATCCATTTGAATGAAATATAAGCTAAAAAGGCAGGTGGACGGATATTCAATTGCCAGTTTGTGATGCTTTATTGACATGACCAATATCTAGAGAAGGGGGCATTTTCAATAAAGGGAAACTCCACATTTCATCGAACAATGATAATGTCTCTCTCTCTCTACTTGACCTTCTCTTTCACTCCTCTCTCTCTCCCCTCAGGCTTGACTGCATGCTGTTATGGTCCTGTATTTGAGCAAGCCCAAAGTGGTTGGTTCGCGTTAATGGCTGGTAGATGGTGTAGAAACAGAGATGAGTGTGCGTCTCTCCTGCTGGGTATCATCATCTTCTGCGAGCTCTCAGTGCTGCCCTCCTTACTTACAGTCCTCTCCTCTTTTCTATTAATAAGACTCTTAGCCAGGAGATGAGCTGGTAAAGCACAGGGAAAGGCAAGATGTTTAATCAGCTAAAACATAGTGGTGTTGAATTAATTTTTAGCATTTTACTGATTTACTGGCCGTACCTTAATACCAAGATGATAGTGGTTCTGAAAAGGTTCACACTCGTTGATTCTCAGCTGTATTTTATTGAAAGTGTTGAAGTACGGGCAACAGGTTTCTCATATATGTTAATTCATTCTGCAGTCTGGGATATTTATCTTTGCCAGTATTGTGACAACATTTATATATAAATATAAGATAACATAGAATTACAGGTATGAATCTAAATGAAGATAAATTGAAAAAACAATCTTAACCCTTACTATAGACTTTGCTGAAATGACATTGCATGATATTTTTTTTTAGTTCTGGTTTACTGAATGTCTTTAGCTTAAAGAATGTGGTGATCATCAGATTCACATTTGTGTCTGATGAGATTGAGGCTCTTCTTCAGTAGGGTTAAAATACAGTATGTCTGTTAAACCACATTTTATGCATGTCTTTTAAATAACACCCTACGATTTAAGAGTTTAGTTTCATATGGTTTGTTAATTTGACCCACCTGAGTGAAATGTACTAAAGATTCTCAGATTAACAAACCATTGCAAAAAGCTCAAGGAAAAGCAAACAGAAGCTGCCTGAGGTTGATCTCACTTCATGTATATGTGGTTTTGTATTTGCCTGCTGATTCCTAAAGCATACTGCTCATCTTTGAAGCAGCTCCCAGTGATTTCCTCAGCTGGGAGGCTATGACGCCTGCAATTACTGCCTTAGCTCCAATCTGCATTGTTGAGAGCGCATGGGCAAGCGCTATATCCTCGGAGATTTTGAAGAGTAGAGTGCATTATTTACTCTGGAGTCTGAAAAATGTCATACCTCGCTGCATAGCACCAGCATTGATTTAACCAAGCGCCACTAGAAATACAGGACATTTACGCTGTGCTCTTGTGTCACACAAGTGACCTGGCTGCTTTCCAAACACGCCCCCTGTTGCCCTGTTGTGTTTGATCCGCATCCATCAACCTACGGACGTTTTTTCATTTCCCCAGGATCTCCAGGCAGAGGACATTTAGGGGAATCACGTTTTCTGACAGCTCTTTCAGAGACTCTTTTAATGTCGTTCAGAATTTTTCAAAGTAAAAGCTCTCAATTCGACTCTTTTATTTTGCAGGCAAAACCACTAAAGAATAAGTGATTATGTGAGTAACTGTTGCTGCCATTACTGAGATCTATTTCAGCACTGCTATCAAAGTATTTATTTACTTATATTTTTTGCCGCTATCAAAGCACCATAATCTGGCAGCGGACCAGATATTATTTCTGGAGGGCAGTTTTGGCGAGGGTCCATAATCACAGAGCAAATTAATGTGTTTCCCTTGTCAATGTTTATATAAACTTTCTCTATTATATGGTTTATAATGGACTGTGGTGAAGAAACAGTGTTTCACACTCTTGGCTTAGATTTTCCATGTTATCTGTCAGTGGCCAAGGAGAGGAGTGGTAGACTAAACGGCTAGATGCGGTAACGGCTAAATGCCACTAAATCGTACACACTTAACCTCTAAGCACATTTTGTCATCAGAAAGAGTGTGTAATCATGTGGTGGATTAATACATACATTTCCACAATTCGATAAGAAAATATAAAAAATGTAATCACTATCAATGAATTCGATGTATCATGCAAATATAGAATTATTAAAATGTATCTGAAATAATTCATGGGGACACTTCATAATAAATGTATTGCAGCAGTAGGGTTTACAATACTATAATACTGTTTAATAGGGGACAATTCACAATGAATGCATTGTTGCAATACACGTATTGTATCCTATTAAATAGGTTATTACTTGATTACTGACAATTTATTTCTAAAAATCTTCTGCGGGGGGGGCACTCATAATGCTAAGTATAACCCAGACTTTTATAAATTGCATCCACATTTTGTCAGATTCCAAGATATTCCGCGTTTTGCAGTTGTCATTTTTAGAAAATTTTGCAATT